GTGTGTTTGCTTTCCTCAACAGCACAGACAGATTGAACATTTACACTTTGACCCAAAACTCTTTATGCAGAACGTTTTAAGAAAGGAGCTGAGAGAAGCCTGAGAAGCGAAGGAGGGGGAATGCTGGCAGGCTATAAACTGATGCTTTTCTGTACATATTGTCTCCTTCATATCAATATATGCTGAGTTCCCGGCTATTCTAAAAACAAACCAAGAGTTGGAGATAGCATATGATGGCTTCAAGCTATATTTTCATTTCCTGGGCTGACTGGAGATGGTCACAACAACTCCTGGCATAATTTTATGAAATTTCATAGTATCAGTATCATTGAAAGAGAGATGCTACAAACAAACAATTTCTGCATAACCTGGACAGATCCTGAGGAGGCCCATCCTGGGCACTAAGCAAGGCAGGGTCTTGAGACAAAAATAGGATTCAATAATAGAATTACAGACTAAATCACAGTGTGTCTACCCTGCTGTGACTTTGCCTGAGATAAAATATGATTGTGCAATATAAATTGTGGCATTACCTAATTGAGGAAGTCTTGATTTTATAATCTGAAAACTGTCTCCTTATAAACTTCAGGTGATTCTTCATAGAGAGCAGGTATTCAGCTAGAAGTGATGTGGATTTCCTGGTTATGAAGAGTACAGCTGATTTCAGCTGCCCTCTTTTTTTTTTAAGGAGGAAACAAAAATGAGGGGCAAAGCAAAGGACACATTTACAAAGGCTAATACCTGACTTGCAAGGCACAATGGCTTGGGGAACATCATGACCTGTTAGTGCATTGCTTCAGCTCATTTTGCTTTCTTTGTTTCTTTGTATTGATAAAAAGAAAAACAAGAATTATCAGGAAAATGGCCTCTTATAAAGTATGCACTATAGGATGAATTATTTCACTGTAGTATATAGCAAATGGATAAAAGAGTTCATCTGCTCTCCTTGCTGTTCAAATCAAAAAACTTCAGGGGGCAGGCCAAGAATAAGATGTCACACATCTATTTTTATTGAGTTTCATACAGCAGAATTTAAAAAGCTGTGTTTTGCAATAAAAATTATTACAAATTTGAAAATCAGAGATGTCAGTTGGAGTTTCTATAGTGTATATTTCTGCTTCACTTCAGAGTTCCAGAAAGTCACACTGTTTAAATGTATCTTTGTGTGACAACACTTCATCTTTAAGTGCTTTAGCTTTTAATTACTGAAATGAGGTCTTACATTATGTTTAGTGTACTAGTAAGGGATTTCCACTTCTCTCTGTGAGGCAGAGGAAAAAGAGTGTACAAAGGACTGAAAAGTAGTACAAAAGAATGAAAAATCATGTGTTTTGAAACTGTACAGATATTTATGGTCTTCACTTAAAAAATGTTGCTGTTTCATTTTTAAACAGGGTAAAACCTGTTTCCACTGTTCTCACAGATGGTTTTTTCTCTATTTTGGGGAAGTTTTTTTTTAATACAGTGATAGGCAGACTACAGAAATATCTGTGCTTGTCTGAGAGTGAATCCTTGGTCTGTCACTAAAAACCAGTATGTGCTGCTGTGTGGGACTGGGGAGGGCACATCATTTGTGGGCCTGGTGTAGAGAGGCAGTGAAATTGCAACACATTCTTAAAAGATATCTTCTGAATTTTAAAATAATTTTGATGGGTAGTAGTACATGTCCAGCAGTCAGTGGGTCCCTTCCAGCTCCAACTGTTCTGTGATTCTGCTATGCCAAGGACTGTCTCATGCAGAGTTTGTGCTTTACAAACCACAGCTGAGGAACTGCCAGACACAGCACTGCCTTATTGATCACCTCATGTAGCAGCAGGAACAGCTTTTCCTTGGTCACAGACTGAAGTGGGAAAAATGCAAATCAACTGCATGTCCATTGAACATCTAGACCTTGCTAGGGCTCTTTTCCAGGTGGGTTTGTTGGGGGTTTTTTAACTGGCTGATATGCTAAGCTAGAGCATTTCTCTGCCTAATGTCCTTATTTCACGGCTATCACATCTGCATCTTCTTCAAGGAAAACAGTAAATTCAATAAGCAGCTTTAGAGCATATTCCTTCCATGGATTAAACCTGACAGAGGAAGAGCTTGCTGCTGTTTCCATCAGCAGCAGGTCTAGCTTGCAGTGTTTTGTTTTCTTATTCTTGAGCATATTTTTAAATGCAGGGAAGAGCTGTGGCACCTGCTGTGTGTGCAAGCAGAGCTGACAGGCCGTGTGTGCCCATGGTAGGAGGGAGCCACGGGCGCCCTGAGGGCTGGGGCACACTCTGAGCACAGCTCCAGAGCATGGCTTTCTTCAAGCACAGCTACAGTGAACTTCTCCTGCTTTAGGATCTGGCTAGATGTGAATAAAAAGATCAGTCAGACAGACAGCAAGAATGAACCATTACTTTAAAAAATGTAGCTGGAAATGTGAGCTGTGGCTGGATGTGCAAGTGATACAGAATCATTTCATCATGTTCATGCTTTCATAAAAACTATAAAAAAACCCAATTTAACCGAAGAGAATTTCTATTCTGTTGCTAACAGCATGAAAGGCAAAGAAGAGAATACAAACATACCACACAGTTTCTCTAATACTATGTGTATGTTTTATCTTTTTGCTATAATTAAAGGCAAAGCTAAAGCAGATGCAAGAACTGAAGGGATGTGGCTCTCATTAAAGCTGCTTTGGCACTCTGTGGTCCGAGTGTAGGTGCAGGGCTGCTTGTTAGCACTGTTCAAAGCTGAGTCTGCCTTAAACCTGTCTGAGGAGCCTCAGCTTCATGTGGTTGGCTGTATAGGTCATTCCCAGGGGAATCTAGTCCTGTCAGAAGAAATCAGTTACTAAAATTCATGACCTACATACAGACTTCTCGTCTTTGGATGCTGGAAATTCATTACTTCAGAAATCAAATTAAAAAATATATATATGGCTCCATATAGAGTCTTCCACAAAATGTCTATGAATTAGAGTTTATGTAGTTTGCTTAGTGAAACAGATACAAAACTTGGACCACTGAGGTAACCATGACTTGTGCTGTTAATCTCAGCAACAGGTCATTAAAATACATTTGTCACTAAAAGATGTTTTTCATTGAAGACAAATGTAGCCAAGCCCTTCTGTCAGTGTAAACTATCCAGCATGAGAGGCAATAAAGAAGAGGTGCTGCTGTATTACCTGGGTTTCACCAGCAACATGCTTTTCCCTGGCCATTTCATTCAGTGGTGTTAACAAACTGAATTTAACTGCCTCAAGGATTAATGAGCAGAGTCAGAATATTCTGCCACACGGCAGGGAGCAGCTGGGCTAGAAAGCTGTGTGAATACCCCTAGAAAAGTGGTCACCTTGCTCTGCTGCAGCTGAAGGAATGAGAGGGTCTGTGACTGCGGCTCTCCATGACAGAAAAGACAGGAACTGGGGCCACCTCTGCAGTGGTGCCTGTCACTGCCTGCTCTGCCAGCCCCTGGGCCAAGCCTCACAGAGACTGAAGCTCGGCACAGCTCTCCTGCCTGTGCCAGGGAGAGGCTGGGAGTGCTCCTGGGCACCTCCAGGCAGTGTGTGAGAATGAGATCTAACCCAGGCGGAGAGCAGTTGCACAGTGTGAACGTCAGTTCTATTCCCTTTTCAATCAGCAAGCTCTCCTGTGTTAAATCCCTTACTCAAACACCTGCCAGGCAATACAGAGTAAAGAGTGTGAGCATGGGGAAATGAAAAGAACAGACTGGATACCAGAACAAACAGAACAATTGCTCTCATTCACAGGAGCAGTTTATTTCAGTGCTTTGTTTGATATAGAAAATGTCAAGAGAAGTGTAGGGTTCAATGACGAGGCTTCTCCCAGATTAAATTTATGTACAAACCAATAACCAAGTAGTCACTTGACTACCAGGAGCAGGAGTGGCAAAACCTTTCCTGTTCACTTTGCTTGTACCACTATGGCATTACTAAAGGTCAGTGCCACTGTTACCAGTCCTTATTCCAAAGGTGTCTAAGCAGAGATTCTGGGCAGAAGTCTTCTGGGATAATACTCAAAGAGAGATGTCTGTGCTGTTTGCAGAGGGGTGAGGCTCCCAGCTGCTGGCAGTGCATGTCAGGGCACTAAAATTAACCTCTAGTGTAAGGGTCAAAGTACCAGTCCCCTGTACTTTAACATGAGCAGAAAGCCAGTGGGTTTTTTCAGGCTACTGAAGCTTCATTAATGCAATGGGTTTGGGTTCAGCAGGTTTTAGAGCTACTGAAGTTCTTGGCCTGTCAGTAAAGGCGTTTGTTCCTGACCTCAGATACTCACAGACTGAGGACACTTCAAAATAATACACTTCTTATTAATAAGTTCTGATCTTCTAAATTTGATGATTTAGGAATATTAACCCTATTTCCTTCACCATCAGAACTGGATTAATATTCATGAACCTTCAGTGAGGCTCCTATGCCTGACCTTTGTGGCAATTTTAAAAATCCCTCTTGGAGTATTGCTATTTAATTTGATATATCAGAAAGTGTTTTGTGTTCATAACTTAATGGCTTCCATTTAACAAATGTCAAATCTTGGCTGCTATTAGTGCAGAACACAATGTGCTCTCTTGTGACATGAACTGTCTAAGACCGCTAATGAAGTAGGAATAAAGTCTGATTTAGGTTAGACTGTGGAAGCTTCAAATCCCTTACCTGTTGATATTTTGTTCAGACAAATATCCTTGCCACTAAGGACTGAAAGCAGGTACGAAAAGATGCTCCATAGACACATACTTTGCTAAAGTTTCCTTTTGTAAGTAAGAGATCTGTTTTATGCATTCTGCAAATCGTGCTGAATAAAAAAAAAGGTCCTGAATAAAAAAAAGGTAATTTCCTTTGCAACTACAAAAATCATTTCCCAAAGGCATTTTGTAAGTGCTCACCTATCTGGGATGCTCTTTATCTTTCTCCCTTTTAAAATGTCAAGCAGATAAAAGTCTTCTAAATACCATTCTTTCCTATTTTGATTAATTTTGCATAGTGTTTTCCCAGAAGGATTGATACTTACATAAACCTGAGTTCTGATTCTCTTCTGACTAAGACTTCCCGAAGTCTCTGGATCTTTGCCATCTCCAGCTCAATTTCCTCAGGCATCATTGTTGTTTCAGCCATTGAAATGATGTCAAGTTGATCTGTGTGGAAGCAAAGCAAATGAATTACGCCAGTCAGACTGCCTTAATGGTGTTTTTCAGGAATGTAAATTAAATCACAGAGCTACCTAACTACGGAGTAATTAATTCAAGCAGTAAAACATATTCTACTTGAATGCTGTGCTGACTGGTTTCTCTATTGTTTTGCTTATTACTTGCAATGTAACCGTTTAGAAGTTAAATACTCCCTAAGCCAAAGTGACAAGCATTTCGTTAGTCAGGCTCCATCATTCCTCTGAGGAATCCCAACCCTGTCCACAGCTACAGCCACCATCTCTTAACTGATATCACCACAAACTGACTGCTACAAAACCCTCTCAGGGCAATTACTCACAGCTCTGAAGAGCCCTACCTTGGTGCAGGCAACGTAAACTCATGAATGTTTCCCACCTTTAACCCTTCTAACTCTCCATGCTGCTCCACCCTCAGAGCTAAAGCCCAGCCCCACCAAGAGCAGCCAAGGATGCGATCAGAAATGATTCAGGACCTCATCCTGCGAGGGGCTGAGTGTCTCTCACAAGGGCATTGAAATTGGTTGAGGATTCAAAAAGCACTTTGCAGTAATAACCTGGCAGCTGGTAAGGCCAGGGTGCTTCTGTGATTATTTCTCCATAATTGATGGATTGCCTCTGTAACCCAGAGAGAAACAGGGCTATGGACTGTGTTCCCTGAACGTAAAGCAACCAATTTATATAAGATGGGTTTGGAAAAGGAGCTGCTTGGCCTCTGGAAAACCCCATTCCAAGGGTTCATCATACCTGGCCTCCATGCTAAACAAGAATTTAGACACTAAAAAATAGGTTGGCTGCATATTTTTGTACCCAAACAGAGACATATTCTTACAAGAAGGCTTGTTTCAGCTCTATTGATTTGAAAAGGGGAAAATAGAGAGGTCAAAATGTACTCAGCATAATTATGTAGAAAACAGCAGACAAAAAGCAGAAAATAAGCTGTTCAATTAATTAAGACGAGACAAATTCTGAAGTCCCTCATGACAGACTAAGCACAGCTGAGAAGAATTTCTGACAAAAACTTAGAGTAGGAATGAAACTACAAAAACTCAACATACAGCCCTGTATGAGCTCAGTTCACAGTTCTCCCAAAATGGAAGAAAAGTAAAAACATTCTGTACTATATAAATAAAATAGATTTCCCTTGTATTTAAAAATAGATAAAATATTTTTTTAAAGTTATCTTGCTACTATTACCTGCTAGTTTTGACTTCATTTCTTAATGAAGAAAGTGGGGGAACAAATATAAAAAAATCACGTTTTTTTTTCAAGATAACAGAATCTTGAAAAAAAAAAAATGAGACAGATTTTGAAATGTCTGTCATGAGTGAGCAGCCATGTTTCAGTAGTTCTTTTTAACCTCAAATTGCAAAACTGGTCTGTAAAGTAAGACTGTGTTGTGTGTCTGAACACACAAATGCTGCCTGTACAAGATGGATTTCCCTATTAGAAATCATCATGCTTGTTGGAGTATATTTAGTTGATGTGTAGCCAAAATATCATGAGGTTCTCACAGGCCCACCTCTCATTTTCACTGCTTGCCAGAAATATAAGCAGGAGATGGGAAGTTATTCTGATGATAACATGAATTAAAGCAAATAATACTGGAAAATAGGGATATAAGCCATAAATAAATTACACATACATACATACGTATTATAAAATTAGTTCTCAAGAGCTCAGAAAACAGAAAAGAAAAAAAAATATTACTTGCACTCTGCAGCTCCAGCTGTAAGTGCCCTGGTGTCGCCCCTGGTGCGGGGTCAGCCTCCACCCTGGGATTTCAACAATTCAGGAACAAACAAGCCTTATGGCCCAGTGATGTGCTTAAACCAGCACAGGAATTAGTGTGACAGGCAGAAATCTACTCTGACCCCTTGCAGAACAGTCAGAGATTCTCCTTCACATCCCACTCAATGTGTGATTGAACCAGAGAAAATATTTTTGAAAGCGATCCAAAATCATGCAGTGTTTCCAAAAGAATCAAAACCGCAAGCAAGGCAGCGGAAGTTTGAAAATAGAGAGAAATAAATACAGAAAGCATCAGATATTAGCTCACAGCCTGTTTGCAAGCTCATAGGTGTGGCTGGAGCAATGGAACAGAGCACAGGTGTGAGTTCAGGTCAGGATTCCCACCTCAGCACTGAGATCCTCACAAATCACCAGCCTCTCTGGGTCTCAGCTCCTCTTCAAGCATTGTGGATAACTGGCCTACCTGGCAGCAGCTGTGTTGAAGGATAATTAATTATTTTTCAAAATATGGTTTGAGCTCCTAGGATGTGAACCACTGGGGAAGTTTATGTTAACATTATTGAGCCTTTAAGTAAAGCTCTGTCCCAGTGAGCAATGACACCTCCAGTGCTTTCAGACATGATTCAGAGCAGCTTCACGCAGAAGTCTCTTATATTTTCAAAAAATAAATAATGAACATTTCATTCTGTTTAAAGCAGGTATGCAACTATATTTTTAGCACATATTGAGCTGTTTTTTTTCTGTTAATGAGACAAAATTCATAAAGCAGAAGTGGAGACAACACTGAGATTAGTCACAGCCAGTGACAGGGTGAAACTATTTTGTCTGTTCTGCAATCTCCAGGATAATTTTCAGTGGCAAAGAAACAAGTAAAATGATATTACTGTATGCACAAAAAGATATTAGCATGAAAATAATTACTATAGAGAAATAAAATTATCAAGCTATTACATATACTGAGAGGGACTGAAGAGGTAAACCTGAAGTTATTTGTGCATAATTTTGCTTCAATTTAAATGCAGACTGGTATAGGTAAACTGGGTATTAACTTAATGATCACGCTTCATCCTCAGTGTGCCAGCCAGAAATAGAACAGTAGCCAGATGTGTTTAAAAGCAAAAAAAAAAAAACCAAATTGCCTATTAAGTCAATAAGCCCAGAGAAAACGTTAAAAGAAGCCTGAATTGACACAATGAGAAATGGGAGAATGCCTTACACCTGGTGCCAATAGCTTCACACCAATTGGTAAGGGATACTGGAATTAATTCTCAGCAAAGATCCTCCTGCTGTCACTGGGGTCACAAAGATAGGACGGGCTCCCTGTGCTCTGCAGCCATTTCATTGTCCTTTGGGGTTGCTGTTAGCATTGTAAACACCAGAGGCATGGAGAAGGTGAGGGGTACCAGTGCCCAAAGGGGCCCAAACCCACGCTGCAACAGCAGCAGGCTGAGCTCCATGAGCTCCAGGAACCCTCAGGCACTGGCAGATGTGCAGCCTGGAGGCAGAACAGCACAGGGATACACAGCAAGTACAGGCTCTGCTGGGCCAGGGGCCTTCCAGGATAATTCATCCTGTCTTCATTCATGGCTGTGTTGCTGTTGGAAACCCACTCAGCCTTCAAGAGCCATCTCAGTCATTCAGCAAGAGGTGAGCTCCAGCACAGGGTAAGGGCAATGGCCCAGCTCTCTCCCACTTCTCTTTTTCATCTTTAACATGGGTGAGCCATCGTAAATGAGACTCTGTTCAATCCACAACTGCTGAGAGCTCTTTAAAGGCTGGTGGCACGGAGCAGCTGCATGGCTTCTCTGATGTGGACACCACTCAGCAGCAGAGCTGCTCTTCAGCACACTCAGCACGTTGTGGTGCTCCAGTTAAAAATTATTTTAAGCCATTGTTCTAGACTGGACTTAGATTGAGCAATCTGAGACCTACTTCCACTCCCTTAAATTGTCTAATAATAATATAATCCTTGTTAAGGAAATGTTAATGGATAAGTTTTGTTACAAATCTGGGTCAGCACTTTTGGGATTTTTTCAAAGAATTCAGTGAAATTTTCAAGCTAATCCTTTTTCGCTGAAGTATATTAAGTGCTAATAGAGCAAAGTGCCGCAAAAAAACTCATAATGCTACTTCACATATCAAAACCAAGATTCTCAAGACCACTAATAGTTGATGAGACAAAGCAGAAGTAAGCAGGAGGCACAGGTCAGAAATAGATGAAGAGAGAACCAGCTAGATCCACTTAAAACCAGCAGGCTTGGTGGGAATTGAAATAGTAACATAATGCAGAAAAATTATTTGGTTATAGTTCAAACTATTCCATATAAAAATATGTTCATGTGAAAAGAATCAGATTATTCCTGTAGTTTGTCACTAGCATGTCACCCAGAGGCATGAATGGCTAGCCTTGCAGCCAGGCATTTTACTATACCTTTTGTTGTTGCCTCAGAGTTGATTTTTTTTCTGTTTGATTTAATCCTTCTGGTGCAGGATGCAGTGGCCAATAACTAACCTGTGTAGGAAAAACTACATTTAATTGCTTATTTCTAATCTAGCCTGCTGCAGCATTCTATTACTGTGAATCCTAGCAATTACTAAATGTGGCATGTGTGTGGCACGGTATTTATTCAATGCTTTATGATAGAATTACCATATAAATACAATACAAACAGCTGCAATGTGTTTTGTTCCTGGACTGCCTGAGAGGCTGCAGTCTTGTGCAATTTTAAAAGGGTAGACTGGGGGAAAGGGGAAAAAGGGTCAGTAGCAGTGTGGCAGTGAGCTGATTGTTGAGGCAGTGAGCACATCCCACACTCCTGCTGCTTTCACTGCCTGGCTCACTTGGTTTGGACACAGGCAGCAGTCTGGCTTTGGGAAGCATCCCAGGAATGTCCTCATCCTGCTGCAGAGTACAGCTCACAGTCCATTTCAGGGGTTCTTTCAGAAATGCTGTCATCTCTTTTCCCTCGAGGCAATCTCTCCTCTCTGCTTGTCAATTTTTTCTCCTGTTTCATCTCTTGCACCAAGAACAGGCTGGTGATGGCACCAAATTCAGTAAAAGTTGGGATGGTGCTGCTGGTTGCATCAGGCCTCAGTGACCAGCTAATAGGCTGCACTGAGGCAGCAGCAGCACAGATACCTGGTGAGTTTAACACTGTGGAAAATTAATCTCTAAAGATTAGGGATTAAGAATAGGAGTGTGCAGAGGCTATTACTGGA